CCTGTATCATGCTCAGACCTCAGCATGTATGGCTTTTTTCAACTGTAAATCTACAATTTTCTAAGAATCTCACAAGAAACACATTTACATTAATGGGCATGTCTTTGGCTCCTTGTTCAAACCTTGTGGTCCATGGTTTTTTACCTTATCAGGTAGAAATCCTATCCAAGACACCGAAGGGGCCACCTTTAACTTCATTTATCAAAAAAGAGGAGAAAAAGAAAAGAGAAATTTTCTTAGCAACTCTTTGAGATGTAACTTGAGAGCTAGCAAATCCTAAATGTAACTCTCTCTTGAGATCCCCACATTCACACTTGAGTGTGTCTTTCCCTTTCCCCGAGTGCCTCTCTTTCTATTATTTCCCGTGCTTAAGTCTATACTTTAGGGTCAGCAGGTAAAGGCACTCACCACCAAGCCTGACCACTTAGCGTTCAGTCCCTGGGACCCACATGAAGGCGAACACTGATCCTGAAAGTTACCTTCTAACCTCTGCCTACGTGTGCTCCCACACTCACCTGCCCCCAATCAATCATTCAACCAATCAAAAGAAACAAATGTAATAAAAAAAATTTTAATCTATGTTAAAATCTCTTCCTAAAAAACTCCATTCTGCTTCACGCTGGCTCGTCCTGAGGTTCTTTTCTGTCATGAAGCCAAGAATCCCATCTTCACTTGAGTATCTGAAAAAGGAAAATGTCCTCTGGCTGCTGTAGGTGACACTGTGGAGCTGTGTCTCCAATCCAGGCCCCACGGCCACCAACAAACCCTAGCTGGGCAGCTGGTGAGCCAATAGGCTTCACGTAGCCACAGGTGGTCAGAACCCCACTACCAGTCTCCCAGCATTCACAGCACCCACCCCAAGCTTGGCCCCCCACTTTGAGTTCTCAGATACAGCAAACTCTTGACATCTGAAGCCAAAAGGAACTTCCCGCAGCTTTCTAAGAACAGAAGCTGAGACATAGAGTATGTTCCCGATGCACTGATAATTTTCATAGGAGGGAACAGTTGTCTCATTGTGAGTTTTATGTACACATTCCCAGAAACGCATCTTTAACACGCTCAGCTGGTTTTCCACATACTTAACTCATCTGATAATTGATTTTCAGTCTTGCTCACTTTCCAGAGAAACTAAGGAAGGGGCTTGGAAAAGTCTGAGTCGTCCTTGTCCCATTGTTCTACAAACAACAAGCCTTTTGTGAGCCCCACCGCTGCCACAGAACTGGCACACACCGTGGTGCTCGGGGACTCAGAGCATCAACCCCCAAGATCTCTGAGGCTCAAGGTGCATGATAATTCAAAACAAACAAAACAAACAGACACCCGACAGCACTTTGGAGATAAGGACGGAAAGGAAGGAGGAGGTAATCATTGTTTTTGAAGTTTTAGGTCACAAGCTCTCTCTTGGAAGTTGACCACAACATTAGCTGACCCATTTTTCCCTCCCTAGGTTGCTTGAAGGCACTGCAACTGCTAACTCTGGCTAACAGTGATGGAGGGAGGATTCCAGGCAGGGTGTTTGGAGAGGCAGTGGTGAAGAGAAGCAGAGACCTCAGAGCTGGTAGAGACGGTGGTGAGCGGCCTTGGGATAAGTCCTGGGAGTCCTGACAATTTACAACATAGTGTTCCATATCTTTAAAGGCAGTTGTCCTCTGAATCTCACATCCCTTGAGTCTCAAGGTGCCACCCCATTGTCTCCCAGTTTGCTTCTGGCATTTCTCTGACAAGCATCCCTCTCCAAGTCCTCATGGGGGGTGGGGGCAAGATTTCCACTCAGTTCTGAGATAGGGAGTTTCTGATCCCACCTAGTCACTTAAGAGTCTCCAGAAGCAGGGCATACTGGCCCATGCCTTTGATTTTAGCACCTAAAAGGCAGAGGCAGATGGATCCCTGTGAGCTCAAGGGCAGCCAGGTCTATATATTGAACTTCAGGGCAGCCCAGGGTAACATAGTGAGACCCTGTCTCAAAACAGTCCTCAGCAAAGCTGAGCTCACAGCAGCAGCCCAATGAACTTGCCCTTCGCTGGTTCTTCCTCCTCTCTTTTCTTTCTTCCTCACTGTGTTTCCTGAGATCACCTCCCAGTACACTGCAGGCATCCAAATCTTTGTTTCAGGGTCTGCTTTTGGTGAAGACAGATGAGACAAGAGGTTAACTAGGGTGCACAGAGTGGCTGTGGTAAGAGGAAAGGGGATGAAGGCAGCCCATTTTTTAAATGACTGGCCTTGAGTCCCTATACACCCCTGAGCTCCTGCTTCCTGTCCCAAATGCTGGATCATGAAGTGTGGTGGGGTGTTGCAGCACCACACTCGGCCTAATAACAGATGAGTAGGCTGCTGCTGAAATGTCTGAGTCCAGCTTTGTTCACAGCATCCCACAGCCTGTCGTCCAGAGGGAGAGGCGGCCCTCCCTCCTTGGGCATGTGCACACCAAGGCCACAGGACAACGAAAAGGCCAGAGTGAGCAAAAACCAGAGGTGCCACAGAGGCTGCAAGGGGCAGAACTCAGAGAAGGTCTCGTTTAGTCCCCTCCTGTATCCTCTGTCTACTTTGCTCAGTCCAACCTTAGTTCATTGGCTTCTGCTAAGTTCCCTGGTGACCCTTTCATCTTCTTCAGACCATCTCCTTTCGCTTCATTTCCACATCCCTCACAAATATGCAAAATCCCATCATACTGTCCTAGGCATGGGGTTGGTCAATAGGAGCATTATTGCAGAATCGTATTGTCAAACGTCATAGGCCGTATCTGATGTATGTTAATTGTGTGTGCTCCCTGAAAGAGCAGTTGGCCATGAAGTTCAATGGCAAACCAGTTAAGAGCCCAGAACTTGCATGGCACTTGCTCACTTCAGCCTTTCCCTTGACTCAATTTAACCAGAACTGTCACAGCTGGCCGCTGCCTCATCACCTGACAATTCTGAACAAGAATAAGACAAAAAGCTATAGAAGCCTGTGGGTATAACTCAGCAGTCTAACATGTGCTCAGCATGGGGGGCCTTGAGTTCAATCTCCAGCACACACACACACATACACACACTAAAAATGCATCAGAAATGTAAATGAGAGAAATAAAAGCATAAATGATTTATTGTGTTCAGAAACATGTAGAAAAGTAACAGATAAAACAATTCTACAGCATGGTGGCTCGTACATTAATTCCAGTACTCAGGATGCTGAGACAGGAAGATTGTTTTGACTTCAAGGCCATCATAGACTACATAGTGAGTTGCAGGCAGGCCTGGGCTACACACTGAGACCTTGTCTCAAAATAAACAGATAAAATAATAAAAGTGATGTGCAGCCAGCTTGGTGGCACATACCTATAATCCCAGCCTTGGGGGTTGGAGGCAGGAGGATCATTTCAAGGTGATCCTCAGCTGTACAATGTGCTTGCTCCCACCCCCATAAAAATCCTTAGATTTGTTTGCTTCTGGAAGGCGTTGCAGAAGTTACCACTCTTCAGTGACTTTTGAGGGAGGAAGACGAATTAATCGTGCAGACAAGAAGGGGCAGAATGTCCTGGAAGAGGGAAGATAAGCACTGTTATCTAGAGGTGATGGTTTGAGTAACCACACCAATTCCAGATCCTGCCTGCTCGTGGGACAGCAGGAAGGCTGCAGGAAGAAGAAAGAGAAAGGCTACTTTTCTGTCAGCTGAGCAGCTGCACACGAATCTACTGATATTTTAATTATTTCTTGCTGCCCCACGGCCCCTCAGTCAGCACCCCACAGGCCACTCAGGCCACGGCCTGGCGGGGCTTCCGGTTCCATGACCCCGGTTCAGCCATGACCTTGATATGTAGGTTTAAATTAAGTCTCTATCGTTCTATTTATCAATAAGACTCACAAGTCAAAGGCTGGGGTGAAAATTTGCCAGCTCAGAGAGGCTGAGTAGCAACTAGCTGACCTTGCTTTTTGACAAGAGACACCGCAAGAGACATATCTCTTCATGTGTCCCAGAACCAAGAGAGCTCAAACTCTAGTCCCCGCCCTTTCCTTCCATTTTATCTTCTCCATCCAAATTGCTGGCTTCTCCATGACCAATTCTGCTCAGCTAGTCACTGGCTCCACCCCTGATTCAAGGTATAACTTTATTGGGCAGGTCTCAGGAGTGTCAGAGTGTGATCAAAATATCCCACAACAAGAGACTGTTCCCCTTTCTCCAACCTTTTGACACTGAGACATATTTGTCATCTACAAAGTACACACTGAAGGAAAAAACACACACAGAATAATCTCATATGAATTTGTGTTGGGCCACCCACTGCCAGGCAGGAATATTTTTTTAAGATTTATTTTTAATTTTTAAATGTGTATATATGTGTATGCCCAAATGTGGGTTTGTGCACATGAGTGCAGATGCTCAGAGTCCAAAGGAGGGTAGCAGAGCCCTGGGAGCTGGAGTTACAGGTGGTCAGGAGCCAGGTCCACACAGGTCCTTACAGGAGCAGTCCGTGTTCTTAACCACTGGGACATCTTCCCAGCCCAACTGACAATATTTTTATCCTTCAATCTGATAAGCCAGGATGGAACATTTAAATGTATTATATAAATCGTTTTAAAATACAAATTACCCACAACTGATGAGGCAAGGATTCAGAACTAAAGACCTGATATTTTGATAATATACATATCCTGTAGGTATGAATAAGATCAATGTGGCATTTCTGATTGACAATCAGACATACAGGGATTGTTACCTTCTAAGCCCCTCTTACCAGTCCTTAACATACAGAGAATTTTAAACAAAAAGTAGTATAAACAGATTTGTGGTGGGAACAACCCACATCCTGACAGTCTAGTGGGCCAGCTGGGGTAGCTAGCCTTGATCTTAATCATAATAATTGAAAGATAAGCCAGGCTGCAGTGGCGGACGCCGTCAAATCCCAGCACTCAGCAGGCAGAGCCAGGCGGATCTCTGTGAGTTCAAAGCCAGGGCTGGTCTACAGAGGGAGATTCAGGACAGCTAAAAAAAAAAAAAAAAAAAAAAAAAAAAAAAAAAAACTACACAGAGAAACCCTGTCTCGAAAAACTAAAAAAATTAAATAATAATAATTAAAAGATAAATAAAACTAAGAAGGAATTTTGTCAAAAATATAAAGCCATTATTTTAAAATTTATTTTTAATTTATGTGTATCCATGTATGTCTGCCATGTATGTGTGAGTGCCCCAGAAGACCTCTAGAACTTGAATTACAGATGGTTGTGAGCTATCATGTAGGCACTGGGAACTGAACCTGGGCCCTCTGCAAGAGCAGCCAGTGCTCTTAACTCCCCAGACTCCAAATATAATACAGTTATTCACTTTAATTTCTAAAACAGCCCATCCTCAAATCAGACAGTAGCTGACTTGGACAGCTCCAGTCCAGACTATACCAAGCGGTTTAGCATGTTTATGCCCTCTGATCCAATGGTACTACTTTGGAATTGGATCAAACAGCGTATTAGGAAGTTATTAAGTTTATGGACAAAATGCATTATTCTTTTGTTTGCCTTTTTTCAGTCTGGTTCCGGTGGTTCTGGCCTACTACCTCCCACATCCATAGTGTTCTGGGAATCTGAGCCACAAAACACTTGTCCTTCGAGCCGGATTCGAACCAGCGACCTAAGGATATCCAAGTTACAACCTCTACAGTCCTCCGCTCTACCAACTGAGCTATCGAAGGATGACTTGTATGTGTTCTAACAAGGTCTCAAGTAGCTCAGACTGGCTTCATATTTCTACATTTGTGAATGGTTTTAAAATTTTGATCTTTCTGCCTCCACCTGGGATTACCAGTATGAGTCACCATGCCTTATTTTAAACAATGCTGAAGAAAAAAAAACAGTAAACAATCCACGATCTTGGCAACTACGTCCTTTTTTTTTAAAGCAATGCTTTGAATTATTCAGGAAAACTTACTGATTGTTTCTATGATGTACACAAATGTAAAATAAATACCAGAACAATATGTGTCAGATGTCATTAATTGATGGGTTCATGGTGGTTTCGTTTATAAAATTGTTTTTCTTCTTTTTCCCATTTTTCTGTAGTAAATGGAAATTCAAAACTACATAAGGAATTGCTGATCTCACGAGTGACTTTGGCAGGGGAAGTTTTTGTGACTGTGCCTTTGTGCCACCTTGAAGGTAGAATCCTGCGCCCACACAGCAGCTCCTGAGAGTGTCTCGTGGAGAGGAAGGAGGTCAGCGATGCAGAGCTGGAGTCATTGTGGCCCCAACCCTCTAATTATTCACAAATGTAATGATAAAGCAGTTTTCTTTCTGGGCTCCTATTCTTTTGCCCGCTTTGCTTCAATTACTCTTCCAAATGCCTCCTACTCAGCATAATTCAAACAAGGTATTGTTAACATTAGTCTTTTGCTTAAAAAACAAACAACAAAAACAAAACTCTCCACAACAACAACCATAAAAAAGACACACACAAGAAAAAGACCAAACTCTCTTTTGTTTTGTTCAAACAACTTCTCTATATGTAGTTCTTGCAAGCCTCCATCTTGCTACTTAGCCCAGGCTGGCCTTAAACTTACAATTATCCTGCCTCCTGAGTCCTGAGTTTCCACGGGTGAGCCACCGCACTGGGCTTATTATCATTTTCAGTGTCAAAAAAACTGAAGCTACAGGAGTAGTTAACTGGTTGATGGCCTCACGTCTCGTTTTAGTCACTCAGGCTTTCTTCTGTCTTTTTGTCCCTGTTCCCTCTATTCAGTCCAGCTCTTCAACGCATACAGTTCTCTTAGAGGAGGAGGATGGATCCGAACCACCGGGCCACCAATCCCTAGTTCACGTCCTTGGAAATTTTTTTTTTTCCTGAGTAAATACACTTGGCCCCCTGGGGGCAGGCTTCCCTAACAGCACACAACCCCTTGCTTCTGCTGACTCTAACTTTGACCCTGGGGCCACAAGCAGCTTTTTCCCTTGGTTCCTCTGGCTCCCACTCCTTTTTCCTCTGTGACCTCGAAGTCGGTAGGTGCTTCTCTCTCAGCTCAGCGAGCCTCCGTGCTCGGCTTTCTGTTCCTCAAGCCCTTGGGCCCTGCCTCTCTCTTCTCTCTAGACTAGGCAGGATTGTAGCTCACTATCTTTGTAACTCGCAGAGATCATCCTCCAGAATGTCGGGCTTACAGGTGTGAAATACCACTTCCCTTTTTTCTCCGTCTCTCTCTCTCCTCCATTTCATTTCATGTATCCATTTCTAGCTCCATGGTTTTATTTTTATTATCATTTCTAAGCATGAATAACAAAATATTCTACTCAATACGGTTTTATTTTATTTCTTCTCCTCCTCCTTCTTGTAAATGTAGAGATTCCACCATTTCTTCTTTTATCTGTAACTGTGCCTCACGGCTCCCTTAAGGAGACAATGGAGGGCTGTAGGACCGAGTGTGCTGTTTTGTGCATGCCTGACCAGACTTAGAAAAGGGTGTGGATGGGCACTGTTGTAACAGGGGCTGAAAATTACCCTGCGGGGGAGATAACGAACGCTCTAGGTTGGAAAGACCTGATGGAGAACAGGGCGCTCGCAGAGCCCATAGTTACCCCCTTGACCGTTTATCTCCCAGCCTGAAGCTCCTGGCAGATTCCATCAGCAGCCGGTTGCCCCAGCAAGGTTGGAGATGGCAGTTTCCCCCAACCCCTGCCTCTTGGCTTGTCTGCTCACCCTCGTGGTCCTGCAGCTGCCCACACTGGATTCAGGTATGTCTCTTTTCTAGTCATCTCTTTCTTGCAAGGTTGGAAGATCCCTCTAAATGTCAGTGACCCGGTTTGGCTCCAAGTGGGGACATCCACTAGAGTCCAGAGGATCCAAAGGAAATCTCCCCGGGTGGTAGTTCATGCCTGCAGTCCCAGCACTAAGAAGGCAGAAGCAGATCTTTCTGGGTTCAAAGCCAGCCTGGTCTACATAGAGATAGCCAGGCCCGCCCGTTGGAAGACCCTAGTTGTTTTTTCTTTAAATCAAAGAAAAATGGAACTCTGGGTGTGGTGGTGCACACCTGCGATGCTAGTTGGGAGTTGAGGGCAAGAGAATCAAGGCTGCAGTGAGCTGGAGGCCAGTTTGGGATTTGTGAGAACCAGTCTGAAAAACAAACAAAACAACAAAAGGAATAGCAGACAGCTTGAGCTCCTTACTTTACTAGAAGCCTGGTCCGTATAGATCCTCCACCCTGTCCCATCGTCCCATCTGACCTTATCTATCCTGGCAGCTCCCTTCGATGTGACCGCACCTCAGGAGCCAGTGCTGGCCCTAGTGGGCTCAGATGCGGAGCTGACCTGTCGCTTCTCCCCAAACGCGAGCTCGGAGCGCATGGAGCTGCGGTGGTTTCGACAGACTAGGTCTCCAGCGGTGCTTCTTTACCGGGCTGGCCAGGAGCAGGAGGACCAGCAGATGGCCGAGTACCGCGGGAGGGCCACGCTGGTGACCGACGGGCTCCCGGACGGCCGCGCTACACTGCGGATCCGGGGTGTCAGGGTCTCGGACCAGGGCGAGTACCGGTGCTTTTTCAGAGACAACGACAGCTCCGAGGAGGCCGCTGCGCATCTCCAAGTGGCTGGTGGGTACACAGCGGGCTGCGTCGCCCAGTCACCGCGCGCCAGGACGCCCACTTTAGGAACCACAGCGCTCATTCTCCAAATCACCTTGAGTTTGAAGAAGGGAGGCCGGCGCCGAGTGGGAGATGAGTGGGAAGGGGCTCAGCTAAGCGGGCGGAGTGCTGAGCGAGATGGCGTTCCTGAGGATACCTCATTTTAGTTATCTTTCGCACTTTTCCCTCTAGAACAGGGCTACTTCCTCGGAGAAGTACATAAGATCCTTAATTTAATTTCGTTTTCTGAGACAATACCTACTGTATAGCTCTGGCAATCCTCCTGCTTCTACTTCCGCAGCGCTGGGATTACAGGTGTGCACCGCTACATCCGGCTGTTACACTCTTTTACAGAGTACACCATATTTCACTGGGTCAGTTCCCAGAACTGGTTTAAATTGTGCATGTTTTCACGTTTACGTAAGGCTGTGCGAGCATCTCAAATGCTCTGAGCAGCTTCGTGGGTTAGTGCATAAGGATTGGCCCTCTAGCATTACAGGTGGTGCGTTGCTAATGTTCTTTATCCACCCCCAAACGGTTTTACTTTGACTCATATTCTCTCTCTCTCTCTCTCTCTCTCTCTCTCTCTCTCTCTCTCTCTCTCTCTCTCTCTCTCTGAGATAGTAAGGAAAGAATACACTGAACTCTGACTTCTCTGCTTGCTAGAGATCAGAATCGAGCAAACCTCCCACTCCGTGTTTCCTTCTGTGAAACCAGTAAGCTATATCCGACAAGAATTCGCAAAAAGGAAATAAAGATTATTATTATTCACTTATTAGCTAATAACTGAAAAGTACTTTGGCAATGGCATCATATACTTTTAAATTAACTTCTACGTCTTAGACCAAGATGTATAATACACATAACCTGCCTTTCTTAATTTATTGTTAGTTCATTTATGTACGTATTTAACTTGACTACTTTTGAAACCCGGCAGCTTAAGAACGCTTTAAAGGCCAGAATCATGGGTCTAGAAACAGCCTCTTCAAAAGAAAGTCATTCCCACACCGGGAGTCGAACCCGGGCCGCCTGGGTGAAAACCAGGAATCCTAACCGCTAGACCATGTGGGAGATGCTGTACACTCTCTTCTCTTGCCTCCTCCTCCCAAGGACAGGATTACAGGTGTACACACCTTTAGGTACCGGAAACGGAAGCGCTTTATGAGTGTAACTCTTTCTCTAGCCCAACGGTACGTTTGCCATATTTTGCCACACTTAATATACCACATATAACTCTCACGTCATTTTAGGGAAGTGCATCTTAAAAATTGATTATATATATAATCTCTGTCTCTCTGTCTCTCTCTCTGTCTCTCTGTCTCTCTGTCTCTCTCTCTCTCTCTCTCTCTCTCTCTCTCTCTCTCTTTCTGTGTGTGTGTGTGTGTGTGTGTGTGTGTGTGTGTGTGTGTGTAAAGTGGGTGAAGTGACAGCCTGTAATTCCAGCAATTGCGAGATGGAGGCAGAAGGATCAGGAGTTCAAAATCAACCTTGGCTACTTGGAACCTCATGAGTTCCAGGGCAGATTGGCAGCATAAAACCAAGCCTCAAATAACAGAAAAACCCACCTAGATATTTGTTGCTGTCTGCCTTTAATCCCAGCCCTGGGGAGGCAGAAGTGGGAGGATCTCCGAGTTTGAGGCCAACTTGGTTTTCAGAAAGCATGGGTTCCAGGGCAGAGAGAAGCCCTCCCTGTCTCTAAAATCAAACAAACAAACAAACAAACAAAAAAATCAAAGCCGGATGGTGGCGCCACTCGGAAGGCAGAGGCCCTATGTCGATTTTTGTTAGGGCATAATTGTGTGAGAAAAGATGAGGTTGAAACCATTTAAGAAAATTCCTGAGTCAGCATCCTTAATAAAGGAAAGTTAAATAATCAACTACAAATCACAAGGAGGAAAAAACAAAACAAAACAAAAACAAAAACAAAAAAACAAAACCCCAAGCCTGTTTTCAAGAATATAGTCCTTTGGGGACTGAAGTTGTGGTTGGTAGAGTGCTTGCTTAGCATTCACAAAGCCCTGGGTGGGATCTCTAGCACTGTGAGAAAATGGTTGTGGTACCACCTGCCTGTGACACCAGTACTTGGGAGGCAGAGGCAAGAGGATCAGAAGTTCAGGGTCATCTTCAGCAGTATAATGAGTTTGAGGCCAGCCTTGGCTATGTGAGTGCCTTTCTATAAAGGAGAATACTTTTCTTTCCATTTCTAAAATTTCTAACCGTAGTTGTCTCACCCCCCAAATCATTAACTTTTAACTAAAGCACGCTTTCTTGACTCTGGAGCTCCTAACCACCTCTTAGCCATTGTTCTTGCTGCTTCTGATGGTTGGACAAGTACCCCGTGTCTACCCAGCAGACTTTTGCTTATGTTGAAGGGCTTGATCCCAATAAGACACCCTCCCTGAGAAGGCATAATAAATTATTTTTTATTGATTCTTCAGTCTTCACACAGAAGGACTAGAGGAATCCCACCTATTCCCAGTCCTTTTGCATCCTCTCTGTCTTTCTCAAACTAAGATCATCATGCCCCCGGGGAAAGTTCCCACTGAAAGATTAAGGCCAGCTTCTCTCTCCATAGCTCTGGGTTCCGATCCTCACATCACTATGGGAGTTAAAGAGAATGGACAGATCCAACTGAATTGCACCTCCTCGGGGTGGTTCCCAGAGCCAGAAGTGCAATGGAGAACTCCCTCAGGAGACAGAATTCCAGTCACAGCAGAGTCCAGGAATCGTGATGAGGAAGGCCTGTTCACTGTGGCAGCCTCAGTGATCATCACAGACAGCTCCATAAAGAATGCGTCCTGCTGCATCCAGAATCTCCTCCTTGGCCAGGAGAAGGAAGTAGAGATCTCTGTACCAGGTCAGTGGATTGAATATTGGACTGCCATGTTGACAGAGACTTGGGACAATAGACCTGGGGCCCTGCTCAGAAGGGACTTCATGGCGGAGTTGTCTACATCTTCCCCCAAGCTCTTGCCTGCTGCCTTGAGGGAAGCCCTACCAACTTCATTAGAATAAAGATACTGAGGGTTGAGCTGTACCTCCCTCCCTCCCTCCCTCCCTCCCTCCCTCCCTCCCTCCCTCCCTCCCTCCACCCCTCCACCCCTCCACCCCTCCACCCCTCCACCCCTCCATCCCTCCATCCCTCCATCCCTCCATCCTGAGACAGGGTTTCTCTGTGTAGCTTTGGAACCTGTCCTGGAACTCACTTTGTAGACCAGGCTGACCTCGAACTCTCAGAGATCCTCCTGCCTCTGCCTCCCCCGAGTGCTGGGATTAAAGGCCTGCGCCACCACTGCCTGACGAGCTGTATCTCATTGACAGAGTGCTTGTAGCATGCATGAAGTCCTAGGTTCTACCTCTAATATGCCATACACCACCCCCATGCCGATCACATAAAAATTCCAGAACTTCGAACTGTTTGGGGGGCACCCAGGCAGGGGGATCGGGATCCGTCCCTGGTGCATGGGCAGGCTCTTGGGAATCTGGTGCCTATGGTGTGATGCTTTTGCAGCCTTGGTGCAGTGGGAAGGGACTTGGACCTGCCTAGGCTCAGTGTGCTGGGCTCTGCTGACTCCCCATGGGAGACCTTGTCTTTGGGGATGTGGGGATGTGGGGTAGCTTGGGAGGGAGGGCTGGAGGGTGGGAGGAGGGAGGAGGTGAGATCTGTGGGTGGTATGTAGAGTGAGTAGAAACTTTCTTAATAAAGAAAAATGAAAAAAAAATCCAGAGCTTAATTTTAGGATAAATGGGTGAGATATAGAAACTTTGTCCCTGGGGGCCTTCTGGACCAGACCCTTCTTCAATAAGTAGAGACTAAATGCCTTTTCAAATTTACTTGCTCTCCCTGAACCTACCCTCCCTTCCTCATCCCACACCGGAGCTCCGGATAGGCTGCCAAGTTCCTCCAGGAAGCAAGCTCTTTTATCATTCCCTAGTTATCACCTCTGGTTTAGCAGGAATCATTCCTTGTTTATTGGCCAACAAGTCCTATCCTGTCAGGCATGTGGTCATTCCTCTTCCTCCTTTACCTCCACCGCCTCAGTGGTGGTTAGCAAGGGATTTCTGTGACACTGAGTGGCCCATTAGATTTTTATTTCTCACGCTCTGGCCCTAGATGGCTCTCAGTGCTTGCTTCTGCCCAGGGTCAAATCTCTGAAACGCTCAGCATGAAGGAGTAATCCTTGCTGTGGGAGGTGGGAGGCCTTCAAGGGCATCCCCATCTCGACCTCCCTTTGACACTAGAGAGAAGCTGAAATTATTCAGTGTCCCAAACAATGTCCTTTTTGAGCCTGTGTTTGTGTGTTTGTTTGTTTGTTTGTTTGTTTGTTTGTTTAGCTCCGTTTGTGCCAAGACTGACTCCTTGGATAGTAGCTGTGGCTATTGTCACACTGGCCCTAGGATTTCTCACCATTGCATCCATATTTTTCACTTGGAGACTATACAAGGAAAGAGCCAGAGAGCGGAAGAGTGAATTTGGCTCTAAAGGTAAGTCACAGTGCCCACCAGGGCTTCATGTTACAGCTTCCAGGGAAGGTGGGAGTCAGGCCTGTCCAGATGACTTCCAGCAGGAAAACGCTGGATTTTAGAATTCTGAAATTGGAAGCAATTATAAGCCTTCTAAAATTACAGGTACCTAATGTGAAGAAAATTGGATGTGATATAGGCAGAGTTGTTATTTTATACCTTATGTTCTCTCACAACCCAGCTTCAGGCCCTCTGGCCAATTCTAAGCCCATTTCCCAGGAAGACCCTTATGATTACGATCTAGTCCTAAGCCAGGAGGAACTTCCGGATGGTTTCTTAGAAACACTGTTTTTGCTGGCAGCCTTTCTGTTCCTGGTTCACAGGCAGCGTCTGTCACTGGGTCACCATGGGTTAAACAGTGTCTCTTTATGTGGTTCTCATTCTGGTCTTCCGCCTTCCGCTTGCCTGGTATAAAAAGCCACTGAAATAATTTTGTTTGTTTTCCAGAGAGACTTCTGGAAGAACTCAGTAAGTTGTCTTCTTGTTTTTGACCCCCTCCCCCCCCCCCCAGATTTTCTCCTCCTGTCTGTTAACACACCACTGACAGTCTCTCTTTCTTCACATTGCAGGATGCAAAAAGACCGCGCTGCATGAAGGTCAGTGGTTCTGAGCTCCTCACTGCCTCTGAAGCCCTAGCTCGGGAGTCAAAGACCTGTGAGGGAGGCTTGACCCCGAGAACACTCAAACGTCTTCTTTAGTTAGTGATAGGCTACGAAGGGGGACAGTGACAGTGAATGGCCTCTGCACTTCCCACGAGGCATCCAGAGGACCACAGAAGATGGCTAGCAGAAAAGCGCCTCTGACAACATCCCGTAGGGCAGTCAGTTCTTAAGTCATTCCAGAGTTGCCAGTGAGAGGTGGGTCTGGGGAGAAGGACAGCAAGTGAGCGGCCAGACAGCTTTCCTGCTACAGGGATTCATCAGCTCCTACAACTCTGCTCCTTGTATTTGGGAAGGAGACATAGGCCGAGTACCATCTTGCCTTTGCTGATGCACTCTCTCTCTTTGCCTCCAGTTGACGTGACTCTGGATCCAGACACAGCCCACCCTCATCTCTTTCTGTATGAAGATTCAAAATCAGTTCGCTTGGAAGATTCGCGTCAGATCCTGCCTGATAGACCAGAGAGATTTGACTCCTGGCCCTGTGTGTTAGGCCGAGAGACCTTCACTTCAGGGAGACATTACTGGGAGGTGGAGGTGGGAGATAGAACTGACTGGGCCATTGGTGTGTGTAGGGAGAATGTGGTGAAGAAAGGGTTTGATCCCATGACTCCTGATAATGGGTTCTGGGCTGTGGAGTTATATGGAAATGGGTACTGGGCCCTCACCCCACTCCGGACCCCTCTCCGGTTAGCAGGACCTCCTCGCCGGGTTGGGGTTTTTCTGGACTATGAATCAGGAGACATTTCCTTCTACAACATGAGTGACGGATCGCTTATCTATACTTTCCCCAGCACCTCTTTCTCTGGCCCCCTCCGCCCCTTCTTTTGCCTGTGGTCCTGCGGTAAAAAGCCCCTCACCATCTGTCCAACTGCCAATGGGCCTGAGAAAATCACAGTCATTGCTGATGTCCAGGACACCATTCCCCTGTCCCCGCTAGGGGAAGGCCCTGCTTCTGGAGAAGCAGATACTCTCCATTCTAAACTGATACCTTTCTCACCTAGCCAAGCAGCACCTTAATGGCTATTCCAGCTCCACAATTTCCTTTCCTTTGACTACTCCCTCACACTCTGAAGCTTCAGTTGCCAATTTCCTGGAGTCCCGTTTCTACCTGGGGGGTGGTGATTAATTCACCCGGGAAGGTGTTGCTGCTCGTGACGGCAGGAAGAAAGGCTTTCTTTTTTTTTTTTTTTTTTTTTTTTTTTTTTTTTTTTGGTTTTTCGAGACAGGGTTTCTCTGTGTAGCTTTGCGCCTTTCCTGGAACTCACTTGGTAGTCCAGGCTGGCCTCGAACTCACAGAGATCCGCCTGGCTCTGCCTCCCGAGTGCTGGGATTAAAGGCGTGCGCCACCACCGCCCGGCAAGAAAGGCTTTCTTAACGTGTTTCTGTACCAATACTGGGGAGACTGAGAGGTGATTCCTAAACTATTTCTGGTGCCCAGAGCCCTTCAGATCAGAGTCTACATAGGAGGACTTGGCAAACCCCCCGAGGGACCAAGAGGCGATTAGGTTGGCATGAAATTGTGGCAGCAACATTTGGAATAGGGGTATGTGGAACAACAGATTTTAGGCAAGAGAAAAACAAAGCTAAAGCACAGCATACTGGGAAAGGAAAGATCTTAGGCTAAAAAGCCCATAAAGAAATTTAGAGAAGACGTGACAGAAACAGATGAAGGGAATGTGGTCCAGTTAGGTATACTTGTCCTGTCCCTAGGGTTTTCAGGACTAGATCTCAAAATTTCTTGTCAATTAAATTTTTTGACAACTTCGTACACATATATAATGCATTCTAATTACTCTCACACTCCTCTGTTCTGTCTTACTTCCCTCCCCTTCCCTCATCAATGCCCCCTTCTTGCTGACACATTGAGTTTAACCAGGGCTGTCATGGGACACATGGATTTGTAGTTATCCACTGAAGTTTGGTGGGCTCAGGAGGACAGGTATAACTGAATACAATGATTTCCCCTCTCCCACAATCTATCAGCATCCACTAGTTCAGCTGGGAAGGGGAGGGTCCCTATCATGGCTAACTATTGACAGGGCCAGTTTTGTGCATGCCCAATTCTGGAAACAACAGTACCTGTGAGATCATGATTGCAAGTGCCCAAAAGAGAGCGTTTCTCAGCCATCTCCCTGCCCCTGGCTCCTAAGCTCTCTTGTCCTCTCTTTCAGGATGTGTCTTGAGCACTGTATCTAAAATTTTCTAAGGCATGTTCTAGAGGATGGAGGAGACTGGCCCTGCCTGTTTGGAAGCTGTTTGGAGCTGTGAGCAAGCCAGGCAGGGACAGAAAGGAGTGGAGCTGAGCAGGGCTAGAGAGCAGACAGGGTTATAACAGAGAAGAAAAGTTCCAGCAAACCCGCCAGGTTATATCCGCATGTGTCAGGCCTGCTCCTCCCTCTTCGTCCTCCTTTTCCCCGCCCCCAAGGTCGATCCAGCCTCACTTTGTTGACTCCATTAGGGGTGTGTGTGTGTGTGTGTGTGTGTGTGTGTGTGTGTGTGTGTGTGTGTGTGTGTGTTGAGACAGAGGTTTACTATGTGGCTCAGACTGATCTTGGATTCCTAATCCTCCTGACTCCACCTTCCAAGTGCTGGAACTGCAGCCAGGTCCACCATACCTGGCAAATCCACCAGTTTTGATTCAGCCCGCTCAGGTAACATGGTTATTTTTGCCAGTCTCAGCTGCACGCTCCCTCGGCCTTCATTGCAACGTCCACCCACCTCTCGGGCACACCCCCCCCCCCCCCCCCCCCGTTCCCTCCCGCTGCCATTCCTCTCCACGCTGTGCTGTTACTTAAGGTAGCCTGCTAACCTTCCTGGTTCTGTTTTGCATTAGGATCCCCAGAGTCGCACCAGGATGCTGGCACAGCAGGACAGTTTGCTCCTATTTGTGTCTGATCCAGTGTCCTCTGCTTGCTGGGGTTTGTTTTGCCGATGACCTGTGTGTATCCAAGCTCCTCCGTTTCTACTGTACTTTTTTCCAGCTTCCAAAATGGAAGTTGTCCATGGACTTTGTCTAATAAGCAAATAAATAGATAAATAAATAAAGTCTGGTTGCTTCAGGCAGCTTCTGAACTTTCCTTCGTTTATCTGAAGAAGAGGAACTCGGGTAAAGTGAAATGGGACTGAAAGCTGCCTGGGAAGACACTGCTTGCTTCAGCAGTGCCGATCTGTATGATCCCAGGCCTAGGCCTTCAGGAGAGAGTCACCAGAACAGGCAGGGATGGGCGCTACTCCTGGGGATCAAACTACCTTCAAAAAAGGCCACTGTGCTGAAAGCTTCCTGCTCTCAGCCTTGTTTCAGGGGTACCTGTTAAGGTAATTGTGTTGGTGAGTAAACTTCATCCCTTGCTCAGATGCACCAAGAGGGTACAGCTCCCAGCAGAGCTTTGGAGTGCCCTTTGCCAGTCTAGTGTTCCATCCCTGGCACTGCCCCGCCCCCTTTCCCCCATGACTCAATTAAATCTCCAAACAAGGACCAGGCGGTGGTGGTGCATGCCTCTAATGCCAGCACTCGGGAGGCAGAAGCAGGCAGATCTCTGTGAGTTTGAGGCCTGCCTGGTCTACAGAGTGAGTTCCAGGACAGCTAGGGCTGTAACATAGAGAAACCTGTCTTGAAAAACAAGAATGCCCAAACACATGAAAGTTGGGAAACACATTCAAACCACTCCTCTTTGCTCCGTCACCTCACAGCACCCAGTGTCCTCCTTCCTTCCTTCTCTCTTTTCTCAAACACTAGCCACCCTGTGCAGCTTGTCTTATACTGAACTCCTGGGAGGAAAGTCTACTTTATCTTTGCTTTAAAGAATTAATTTAAGTCAAGCATGGTGACACGTGCCTGCATTCCCAGAACTCAGAAGACAGAGGCAAGAGAACTGTCGTGTTTGAAGGCAGCCTAGACTACATAGTCGCTTCAAAGGTCAGCCTAGCCTATATAGCAGCACACTATCTCAGTAAATAGATACATGTGCTCATTTGTGTTCTAGTTTTACTTGTAGAAATTCACAGAAAACATAGTCCAAGCACCCTTTTAAAAATGCAGTGGGGGTGGGGGGGGGTGATATGACTTACCTGAGCTTGACAACCTGAGTTCAATGCCAGTGTCCCACATGGTGGAATGAATTTTCCTCAGATATCCACGTGTTTTTCATACACCATGTTCACCCATACACATATACACATACACACGCTAAATACATGACTACATATAATTTAACATGTTAAATGCCTAGGAAAAGTAGACATTTGCATTACTGTGTTTAATGTGTGATGTGTATCCTAATATGTATCTGTAAAATCTCACACAGAATATATGGAACTGTGTCTCTGAGATTAGAAAGAAAAGGGGTCTCAGAACTTGGTATGGTGGAACATGCTTGTAATATCAGCACTCTGGAGACTGAGTTGGGAGGATGGTAGATTCAATGACAACTTGAGCTACACAGTAAGTTTTAAGGCCCTGTCAAAAAAGAGGCGGGGAGGGGCCAGAGACAAGATCTCTCAGATTTCAATCAGCTCTTCCTCTGCTTCCCTTTGCCTCACTGTATTCAAGGAAAGTGGTCTGTGGGTGTACTAAACAGTTGTTAGACACTTAGGGAGCACCATGTGCCGATCCTCGGTGCTCCCGTTCCAGCCTCTGTATGTCACACCCTGACTGACTGACGAGGAGGGTTGTAACCAACAAAGTTATCTTATTTTTACAGGAACAACAGCGTCGAAAAAGAACCAAGCTAATTGGCTGTGGTAGCATACATCTGTAATCCCAGCACTTGAGAGGGTAGCATCCATCCATCCACCCAGCACTTGGAAGGCGGAGGCAGGAGAATCACGAGTTCAACGACATCCAGAGCTACAGTTTAAAATCCAGCCTGAGCTGTATGAGACCTCGTCTCAAAACAAAACAAAAGCATAATTTGGACCAGAATCCTGTTCCATACTATCTTGAACATTGTTATAAATGTGCCTACACGCTCACCCTTAAAAGATTCAGGCTTTCACTAGAATTTAGCCCTGGAGCCCTGCTCTCAAATCTGGATGCATACGGAGTTCCTTCAGGGAATGATGGCGCCTTAAAGACGCAGTCATCAGCCAGGGTGACATAGAGCGTCTGTCAACAACAGTAATACTAAATTTAAAAATCCTCTCATCAGGTGGCATTCCCAGACATTCTGATTTAATTGGTCAGGGGAGAATTGTTATCCTAAAGGGTTGCCAAATGTATCACCTACGAGCTTTCCCTAATTTCTGCTAATGCTGCTAATGCTTTCTCTAAGAATTCCAGAAATACTATATTTTATTTAAGTCATGGTTCTCACAATCATGTGGAGGGCCTGTTAGCCACATAATGTAGAGCGTTATCCTCTAAACTTGTTTGAAACCCACAAGTCAGGATTATATGTGTTTATGGCGTACAAAATGTTCTGATATGCGAAACATTGTGAAAAAGCTGAGTGAAGTTACAAACCATACCTGTTGCCTCACATACTTTTGTAAAATTTCTCAGCAATTGTCAAGTATGTGACACATTGTTACTAACCATATTCTAAACAGCAAAATTTCAGATTCAGTCGGTCTGGGTAGGGCTGAGCGCCTGTGTCTACCTGGATATGGAGAGCTGGACGTTTTACTCACAGTGTAAGGGATTAAACAGTGTTTCGTCAATGGAATTTAAACACTAGAAGCTGTCCCAAAATAAGGAAAGAAAGAAGAAAGAAAAAAGGAATGTCTAGACAAAACATGATGATCCGAGCCTGTGAGCCCAGCACTCCGGAAGCTGAGGCCTGTTTGGACTACATAATGAGACTCTTAAATCTCAAAAACTAAAACCAAGGGTGGCGGTGGAGCGGGGTGGAACAGTTTCTAAAGCCCACAGAGCCAGAACGACTTGTCTGCGGTCCTTCGGGCAGTTAGCTGACTGGACCTAAAGCTGTCTGAAAGCCGAGCTCCGGGTCCTTCGACTTCCAGTGAGATTCCAGGGACGTCGTCCCCACGGCTGAGACTGACAGTCTAGAAATAGGTTGCCCCCGTCTTGAGTTGCGTTTGGAAAATCCGCTGTTGTCAAGGATTGCTATAAGGTACTTCGGGTGGGTTTAGGAGAGAAACGGTTTCTGGTTTTTGGTTTTGGTTTTGTCTCGGAGAAGCTTTTGCCTTTAGCCAGTGCCCGCAGCGGTGC